GAGAGGTCAGCCTTTCATGAGCCGTTTCCGCGGAATCAAACGAAATGGAGGGTTCCGGATGCTCCCTTTGTGTTTCTAAATGTTCGCAGGGAACACCGGCTCCTTTCAAAGTGTCAAGTGGAGAAGTGAACCGACGCCTGGCCCCCCTCCCCCAGCCCCGCCCCACACTCTGTGGCCTCACTCCTGTCCGTCTGTCCATCCACCCAAAGTGCAGTCCACAGGCCACCAGGACATGGAGGTCACCTGAGCCTTAGCTGTGACCTGCTTTCCATGTAATAATTTGAACGGAAGGGGGGCCTGTTCTGGCTCCGGCACCTGCCGCCTGGGCTCCAGGGAAGGTAAGACGCGATGGTTCCCACCGAGTTACCAGAAGAAGAGAGAAAAAGACACCCTACTTTTTAAGGAAACACTTTTCCTGGAGCCCCCCACTGGCCACGTTTCCCCCAAACACAGTTCCATTCCAAGTGCCCGCATCTCCGCCCCCAGGACTGGCAGGCACCCCCTGTTCCGTCTGCCCGCGGGCAGCACAGCACGTGGGGGGCTGGGCACACGGCCGAGCCAGGGCACTCCCTGCTGTCCTGGCCGGGAATCGTCTTTGGATGGAACGGAACGGCCGCCTCCCAAGACCCAGCTTTGCTAAGGTTCCTTCACCCTCTGGCTCCGGAAGAAAACCCACCTGCATGGGAGCGAAAACCGATGGAATGTCTGTGGCCCACGGCCGGTCAGTTCCCGGAGTGTGTGGCCCCTTAGGGACCCGCGACCCCACCTCACCTCCTGCTCCTGCGTCACTGCGTGATCTGGTGCCACTGTGGGCACAGCTCAGCCGCCCGCGGCCGCCCACGTGTTTAACCTCCCCAAACTGAAGAGGCTTCGAACGCAGACGTGGGGTGTGCGGGAGCAGTCAGAGCTGGAGGGGCCCGTTCTGGGGCGGCCGCTCCTCTGCGAAGGGGCTACAGCTATTGCCCACCAGCCCATGGCACAAAGGGAGACTCTGCTCAGAGCTACACCCCCCACCCCGGACCGGCTCTTCTCATGGGGACCCGCTGGAGCCCCGGAGACGGGCTGGGTGTGCTTGCCGGCTGCGACCTTCCTAGTCATTTGAGGTCAACATTTCTCTCTGGTGGACGATGGGGGTGACCTGAGACAGGACTGTCTCTACCACTGTTTACCTAACCCTGCACCCAGGGCAAGCTCTGAACCAGAGTGCAAAGCCCGCCGCCAGGCCCCGCCCCGCTGGGAGAGAAGGGCCGGCTGCATAGCTCACAGGGCCGGTCAGGTAAGAGCTCGCCGGGAACCCCAGGAAGAACGCCGCGTGTCCCAGACACGCACCTCGGCTCCGCGTGGGGAGAAGCAGCTCGTTTTCAGCGCAGGAAGCGCTGGCGGAAAACAGTCAAGCGCCTCAGATGGAGAGTCTGGCTCGTTCACGTGGGCTGTGCTGTTGACAATGGAAGACAAACAAACAATCCACAAACAATATGGCTTAGCAGACCCGCACGGCAGAGCAGCCGCTGCAAACGCATGAGTCACAGCGCGGCCGGGATGATGGCGATGCCGAGGCAGGCGCTGCTGGAGGAGCACGCCATCGGGGTGGGTGGAGGCCCAGCTCGTGTTTCTCTCCTCCTGGCACATATGAGCGACGTCCTCTTTAACACTCACAGGGCAGAGCAAGAACGGCCCGACGTCCACAGAGCCGGGGGCTCAGGGTCTCTCCCCACTGTGACCCGCGGGGGGCGGTGGGCGACGGGGAGCGATGGCCCTGTGGGTGCGGAGGTTCACTTACAGGAGAGGATGAGGGTGTCAAAGCACAGGCCCCGCGAAGCTACGTGCTGATGCCACCGAGGAACAAAAGCCTCAAAGGATCCCACCCAGCTGTGCCCGGCTGCCCGTCCCAGCCCAGCTCAGCCCTGGTTCCTCTGCCAGAGCCTGAGCCGGCCAGGCTTCCTGGGCGGCAGATAACAGACCAAACGGGGGAGCAGCAAAAGAGGTGGACTGCCCGGCTGGTGTGCTCAGTGGTGAGCATCGACCTAGGAACCAGGAGGTCACGGTTCAATTCTCCGTCAGGACAAATGCCCAGATTGTGGACTCCATCCCCAGTAGGGGAGGGGGCATGCAGGAGGCAGCCGATCGATGATTCTCTCTCATCATTGACATTTCTATCTCTCTCCCCCTCTCTCAAATCAATAAAAATATATATACATAGCCCATAGACCAAACGGGGGAGCAGCAAAAGAGGTGGACTGCCCGGCTGGTGTGCTCAGTGGTGAGCATCGACCTAGGAACCAGGAGGAGGTCACGGTATTCTCTGTCGGGGCACATGCCCGGATTGTGGGCTCCATTCCCAGTAGGGGAGGGGGCATGCAGGAGGCAGCCAATCGATGATTCTCTCTCATCATTGACGTTTCTATCTCTCTCTCCCTCTCTCAAATCAATAAAAATATATATACATATCCCATATAATAAAGAGGTAATATGCAAAATAACCCTCACACCCTCACAAGATGGCTGCCTACGACCAGGCCGCAGGGGGGTTAGTGAGGGACGACCAAACGACTGAACAGCAGGCTGTGTGGGGCAACCAGGCTGGTGGGGGGGCTGTGAGGGGCAACCAGGCTGGTGGTGGTGGGACAGATGGAGGCGCCAAGCTGGTGGGGGGACAGATGGGGGTGACCAGGCCAGCAAGAGGGGCAATTGGGGGTGACCAGGCTGGCAGGTGGCAGTTAGGGGTGACAAGGCCAGCAGAGGGGGGCAGTTGAGGGCGACCAGGCTGGCAGGGTGGGCAGTAAGCAGTAACCAGGCCAGTAGGGGGGTGAAGTTCAGGGCAATTAGGCTGGCATGGGAGCACAGGCAGTCAAACATCCCTCAAGGGATCCTGGATTGTAAAGGGTGCAGGCTGGGCTGAGGGGACCACCCCCCCCCCCGTACACGAATTTTGTACACCCGGCCTCTAGTCCCACATAATAAAGAGCTAATATGCTAATTAGACCAAACAGCAGAACAACCATCCGGACAACCCACTCTGGGGTCTGAGCCCGTGGAACAGGGTCAGGAAGCCGATCTGGCCGTGGTCAAGCGCCTCCTCCTTAGCACTCAGAGCTTGTAAACAAAAGGGTTTGCACCGTATTTTAACCAGGTAAAAAGGACAGCAGGTGCGTGAGGATTAGAAGGGGCTAAGCCTAGACGTGGACGTGACCACTGGCTGAGGGCTCCCCGGAGCCAGGCCAGCTGTTCTGCAAGCGTTAGGGCCTCCGGTGGGCAAGGGACCATGGTCGGTACTTACCAAGGTGTGTCAGAGGGAGGCTGGGCCCCGGAGGGATCAGGGTGCCACCAGCCCAGCTAGTGAGTGGGCGCGAGTTCATGGTTGGCCTGGTCTCCAACCTTTTACCCAGATTGGTGGGCACGCCCTCCTGGTGAAATCCATTTGCACGGGGGCCATTTATAGGAGACAAGCCACACACACACTCACACACACACACAGACACACACACAGACACACACACAGACACACACACTCACACAGACACACACACACTCACAGACACACACAGACACACACACACAGACACACACACATACAGACACACACACACTCACACACACAGACACACATACATACAGACACACTCTCACACACACTCACACACACACACACACACACACACACACACACACACACAGACATTCGGGATCTGGGCCCCCTGGAAGGGCAAGTTCTCTCATGGAGGAGGTCCTCCGATGGCGCCCATCTCCCACAGCGCCCCCTACGGCAGCAAGCGGGGTGCGGGCACCTTCATAGGGGGGGCTTGGAGGGTGCCCCTGCCGGGGCCAGGGCAGCCTCTGCATAGACTGTGGGTTGGGATGGTGACGAGGCTCCGGCGTGGGGTCCCATTTCCACGGGGAAGCCACACGGGGGAATCGTTGACGGCAACACACACATGCTGGCCAGCGGGAACCCACAGACACTGTGTCTGCTCCGGCCTCCCCCCAAGATTCAAGGTCACCCTGGGGGCTCAAGCAAGAGCCGGCGACCTCTGCCCACGAATGTGCGGGGACAGAGCACGCCAGGGCGTGGCTCGCGTGGGAGCAGCCGGGTCCCACCCACGGGAAATTCATCTCGTTTTCCAACCAACTGGGCCGCCTCACTTTCCCAGCTCTGCTCCGACGTACGTACACACACACGTGATAAGGATTCAGTCCTCTACTTGTTGGAACTGGAAAATGTCTTTAATTCGATCTACGCTTGGATAACACGAAGATGGCCAAGACCCCGCCCCCGCCCGATGGCGCCCGGGCCCAGGGCGAGCAGGTGCTACATAAATACCCACATGGCTCTTAGTAGCTTTTCCCAACAGTCAGGTAAAAAAACGGTAACATGACGTGTGTGCGTACATATATGTATATATAGGGGTATGTATATAAAACCACGCCTTCTTCACCCGGCCCGAGGAACACGCCTCACGCCTGGCGCCTCTCACCCAACACTTGCAAACGCGGGACGTGCCATTGGAGGATCTGTGGGTCGAGGAGGCGGTCCCCCAGGGCGGGTGGCAATGAGGGACCAGGACCCCCCCCCGAAGAAATATGCCCACTCGGACTGCGTGTCCAGTATATGCATATATATGTGTGCGCGTATACGTTTGTGTGTGGGGGTGTGTGCGTGTGTGTGAGCCGGCGTGTAGTGTGTGCGTGTGTGCGTTTGCAAGGTAGAAAACACCAGTTTATTCCGTCCGTACTAAGCATGTTACATAAGTCGGGTTTGGTGACCGATAACACTTCTTTTTTTTAAAAAGGAACATCGAAGATATTCAAAAATTGCTACAGTACAAAAAAGTGTGTGTGTGTGTTTATATATTTATATACATCGATATTCCCCAGAAACAGCGACTTTCCGGAAGGGATGCCCAGCCCTGCTTCCCGTGAGATTCCCACGCGGGTGCGCGTGGCTCGGCGGTTCACCAGGTCCCTCGGGTCCTGCATGGCACATAACGGTATTGTTGGCACAGTCAGAAGCGTGGACAGCGCCCGCCTCCTCGGGGGGCGTCCGCTCCTGCGCTGGGCCTGCTGCCTCGGCCTCCGGTCCGTCTGGCGTTCTCCCCTCGTCCTCTGGTGCTGGGGGAGGGCAGCCCCGTAGGCGCGAGCTTCTCTATAAAAATATATTTGGCCTCTAGCGTCCTGCTCCGAGTCCCCGCCGGCACACAGCAGTGGGAGTGCGGCGAGCCTCCCTCACATAGTGTAGTTTTAGGTTTGTAAGTGTAGTTGAGTTTTTTACAGGTTCACCCACGGGATCCTGTGTGGAAAGAAAACAAGAAGCGATTACATGGCAGCGGGCGGAGGGCAGGGGGAGTCCTCGCAGACGCCCTGGGCCGCGGCCACCCAGCCCCGACCGGCTCCTCAGAGGGGTCACAGAGCGCCCGCCCCCCCCCCGGGCAGGGCTGCTTCCCGCCGAGCTCCGCTGGGCGCTGGCCCCTGGTCCTGGGCTCTCGCGTAGAGAATGTTGTTCCTCGGACGGACAGAGGCTGCCAGCCTGCCCGTGTTTGGGGAACAGAGCGGCCAGGCTCAGGTGCTTCCCCGTTTCTGATTAGTTCGGGCTCCAGTGGTTTCGAAAGTAATAACCCCAAGATGGATCTCCCCTGGGCTCCGGCCGGGGGCCTCCGTCACGTCTCGGGCTCCGTCTGGGAGGGAGCGGCCTCGGCGAATGGAAAGGTCTGGGCGCTGAAGTTGACTTGTATGAAAAGTGACAGGAAATGAGCCCAAGAGCCGCCCCGGGTATGAGTCTGAGGCTGCCGTCCTGGGAGCAGGGAAGGCCACGGCATCCTTGCATCCTGCCCGGCACACAGACGAGCTGGGCCGTGGGGGAGCCGGCCTGCGCCAGGCTCTGTGGGCTCATTTCCGAGGCCGAACCCGGGGACACGGAGAAGCTGCCCGGGCTGGGGGCCCGTGTCCACCTCTGGCGCATCGCCGACCACCCGCCTGTAGGAGGCGCACTTAGCCACGCCTGGGTCCCCGACGTGCGAGTGGGTTCGCGGGAGCAGACAGAGGGGTGGTGACAAGCTGTCCATCGCCATTAAAAATGCATTTGCAGAGGCTCCGCTGCGAGCCCGTAGACAAACACCTCCGCTGGCTCTCAGGCCCTAATTAAACGCTTTCCCATTAATTGCTATTTATTTAAGGGGTAACTGGCACCCCAGTAAATCTGAGCCATCTTCCTGGTGACCCCCGTCCGAGGCTCGTGTCCAGGCATTCATTACGAGAATCGGGACGCTCACACCCGAATGTGCTGCTCCCGGCGGGTGAGAAACGGCTCCCGACACCCGGCCCGGAATCCTAAGCGTCCATCAGGGCCTCGTCTGCGGGGACGGGAGGTGGCCGGACAGAGCGCTGCTTCATGCTGCTGGCTGGAGGCCGAGCGGGGCTGGCGCCCTGCAAGTCCTGGGGGCACTTCTGGCCTCACCTACCTGTGTCCACAGCGAGCGAGGGGAGGTCTCCGGACAGGGGGTCCCCTCCTGTAAACCGGGGTGCTCCCGAAATAGCTCCTCGGGCACCGTCGGAGAGTGGGGTCCAGACACCTTGCCGCCTGGGGGCCTGGGGTGATCTGCCCCTCCCCCTACCGCCTGACTGACCTCAGCAAGTCACGTAACCTCGTGCCTCACTTTCCCCGTCTGGAAGGGGACGCTGGGAGAATGCAGTGAGTTCGCAGACAGAAAGAGTGCTCCCATGAGCTGCCATTCAAACGCCCATGTTAGGGAATTGTCCCCATGGGGGCGCTACCTGCAGCCAAAGGTGCGCATGCCCAGGTGTGTGAGCCGCAGCCCTGGGCGCGTGGGTCCTGTGTGCACGGGGCCAGCCTCCCGGCTCAGAGTCTTATGCTCTTGTTGCATTTGAAAACCTTTAAAAATCCCGACAGAGATGCTGGCCCCGGCAGGTGGCCCGCGGAGGCGGTTCTGGGACAGATGGGACCCTCTGTTCGTGAGCGAGGCCCCGCGGCAGGTCTGGCTGCAGCCACAGGAGCTCCCTGGGGCCCCAAGGAGGTGTCGGCGTCTGAGGGCTGGACCATGCCGTGCCCATCCGGCCTTGAACCCGGGGACAGAACACATCCTGCCCACGTGCGCCCGGGCTCAGCCAAAGCTTCGAGGGGGAGGCTCGCTCTCCCTGCTAATCTAATTACACTTCTCTGCCCGTTGGCTGAACATCGCGCTGAGCAGGTCATGCTGGCGTCAGGACAGGGAGCGAGGGCTGGGATTTAATTTGGAGCAAACACGCTATTCATTAGGACGGGCCTCGGGACAGAGCGATCCGGCCGGGCTGCTGAGAGCTGCTGGCTCCTCGGGCCCCAGCTGAGGGCTGCCAGCCCCGTCCCCGAGGGTCCCCCAGGGTCCCCGAGGGCCCCGGGGAGCACCTCTCTGCCAGGGGCCTGCACCCCCTGACAATGGCTCTGCCCCGTCCGTCCCCACACCAGAAGGTGAGCAGAGAAAGGAAAACATCCTCAAATCTCCTCCACCGCCCAGGGCAGCGGGGGCCCTGCTCGCGGGAGGACCTGCCGTCGTCTTTAGAAGAAACATCTGGAGGGAAAGGCTGCTCCCTGAGGATGAGCAAAGCGGGGGCCCTCAGGACACCGGCCCCAAAGGGAAACAGACAAAAAGCCGATTTCCCACCCGCATTAGCGTTAATCTCACCGAGAGCAAAGCGAACGCTCCCGCCAGGCTGGCACGGGAATCCCGTCGGCTGCCAGTGCCCGGCTCCTATTAGCAGCCGCCTCAACGCTTCCCTTTCTCTCTCTGCCCTCTTCCTCCTGGTCTCGTTTCTGTATCTCGAAGTTGGGTTGTAATTCTGCTCTGCGCCCTCCCCAGGTAGGGAG